AATTTAAATTTGCGGGGTCACACGTGGGTGGAGAACGTTCCCCTAAATTTTCAGCTTCCTAGCTTTGTGGTTCCCGAGTTGAAAGTTGCGGACAAATTGCTGCGGACACACACACACACACACACACACACACAGACAACCCTGTGACAATATGCGCTTTGTACTGCTGTGCACAAAACGCATAAAAAACGTAAAAATTTTATAAAGACTAGAAATAATAAGTAGATTTAGGGGGCAGTTTTGATCTGATTCAGAGCCAGCTAGTTTTTAAAAAATCTCAGCTAAAAAAGTGTTGAGCTTCATTAGCAAAACAACCGGATTGTCTTCTGTTGTGTAAAATAGGCAGGTTGGCCTGTGGTACTTTTGTCCTGGTTGTGATTGTTGAGTTTTCTATGAAATTTTTGGGTATTTGAGTTACTGTGCAGCTTTTTCTTTCTTCTTTTGTACTGAGGATGAAACACAGATTGCTTAAAAATGTTTAATCCCTTTTTCATTAAAAATGAGAAATTTTTTCTTAATTTTTAAACTTTTTATCAAAAAATTTTATTAAAAAAATTTGTTTTATTGAAATTTTTTATGTAAAAGTTTTTTTTATCAAAAAAATTTTTTTTCCAAAACTATTGTTCCGGTTTGCAGATTTAGTGTGGAAATCTGATGTTATTTATGTTACAGGGAAACATTCACATGCGCGTGCTACTGTGCCAACTTTCCTACCCTGTATTAGAAAGCAGATAATATTTGCTATTTTTCAGCCTTTTTGGCCAACTGGTTCGGGATGTGCACGTGGTTTCTTGGGTGTTTTTGATGCTGCTTGGATGCTTCGTGCCTACGGTTTGAATATGCAAGGCCTGGTGTTGCTTTTAGCTGAACGCGAAAGTGTTTATCGATTATTGGCGCAAGCGAAACCAGATAATTTACACAAAAATATACAAAAAGTAAGCGAAATAACTTGCTTTTTTTGATTTTTGGCGCTTTCGTTTATCAGTAATTGAGTATTTCACGGGCTGTTCGGGTAGTTAAAAGGGGAATATTTGGCGTAGATGTAGCTGCTTTTGTGTGGTAATCGTAAGGAGGTCTAATCCACACTGTGTTAGTTGCGGGATTAGCTTAGATTAGTAGAGCTAACAGGCCCTGGTGTCGTGCTTTATTGGATGTATTTTTCGGTGAAAAAAAAAAGCAGTGCTTTTAGGATTTATCGATTAATTTCGCCGGTAAATTTAGTACTTTTGCATGCTTCATTGGGTTTATTTTCCGGTGAAAAAAGCCAATACTTCGGGGTTTGTCAACTTATTTTGCTGGTAGATTAGTACTTATGCATGCCAGGCAATGTAAACCTCCATTGACTTACTTCTAACCTACTTTTGGGAGAGAGGGCCATTGAAAGAATGAAGTATTATGAACGGAATGATTACAGGAGGAGAAATTGGAATTTTTCTTTGAATATGCTGCAGACAATAGCCGTAAAAACAGGGAGAGTACGGGCAGCGGGATAATCATATTGCCTTCTTTTTGTTCCATTGGAATTTCATTATCCATTTCCCTGAGCAGAATAAAATTTTGTGAAAAAAAGCCATGAAAAACAATGAAAAATCATGAAAATAGAAAAATCATGGAACTTTTTTTTGCCTTAGCATTTGAGTGGCTTTATTTCCTCGTTCTGTTTCTTCTCGTTTTTGCTGGCCGCGCTTTTCTAATCATTCTGAGGTTGTATTGTTGCGTATAGTTTGTTCGGTTCGGGCTTCCTATCTCATTAGCGGTTCCTGTGTATTTGCTTAAGATTGCTAAAATCCTTCAACAGTAGGCTTTGTCCATCTGTTGTTTCTCTCCTTCACACAGCCACTTAGCTTTTTCTTTCAAATACGTTTCCTTGTAAAATTATGATTTTTTATATGCGAATTAAATAGGGTAAACCACAAAAATTTGAGAGTCAGCTAAATCTCGTTATAATTTTAGATTAACTCTCTGTTAAGGCAGCGTTGCAATTGAAAAATCCTCTTTCTTTTGACTTGTATTGATAAGTCTGCACTACAGGCAATTTTGGCTGAAGAGAGTCATTTTGCCGTGCTTGGTGAATACTTTTGCTGATTTTGGTCTCTTTTATTCAGGGCGACAGGGCTTGCCTTCTTTTTAAAAGTACAAATCTGGTAAAATTCGCATATTTCAGTATACGATTGATCCACGAACACGTTATGTTAGCCTTGAAATGACAGTGCAACCGCATGAAATAAGTCATCTGATCGATACGGATAACCCAAGAAATGTGGAAACAAATCTGGCTTTACCACTGCGGGCCGCCGATGCGGCAAGCCGTGTCAGTGAGTCGTACATGAAAAAGTTAGTGAGTTATCTTTGATGTGTGTAAAATTCTAAGGCTAATTTAACTTCAGGTTCAAAATTTTTTAGAGCCCCATTCCAAAAGATCCGAATTTTTCACTTCAAACACCACTGCTACAGTTTTTCGAGAGCACTCCAGCGGTGACCCACTGTAAGTTGCTAACTCGGGAACCAGGAAAGCTGGAAAGCTGAAATTTTAAAGGGATTTATCGTGACAGTCCTGGCGCCCAGTCTCAATTCTTTTATCTAAAAATATCTGCCGGAAAAAAAGAGTGTTAGCGGCAAAAACCTGCAGGGAACTATACAAAAAACGCATCTTCGCACCGGCATTCCATGTGCACTCAATTGTGTAGTGCGCGCACTTGCATCAAAAACAATTTTTTTTTTTGCATATTTTAATTGCGAGTAATAAAATTCAGAAATCTTGGGCGACAGTTCTCTTTTCTTGGTCGGGTCTGGTTTTGCTGTTACACGCTCTTGACATAATTACGCCCTTCCTACGACCTGTATGATAAAATTTGGTTTTGTGGTGCGCCTCCTGCCGCTGCTACTACTGCATCTGGTAATGTTAAGCAAAAGATCCCACGGGCCGTTTGGGCTCTGTGGACGGATGGAATTGGGAAAAGTAGGAGCCAACCGGTACTGGATGACTCTAACTGAGCTGTGCATAAGACGGAGTCGATCCTAAATACGATGAATCTTATTAAATTGGAAGTGGGAAGGAAATATTGTAAGGTAAAAAAAGATAGTGGTGTTGAACATGTACCAAAAAAACAGCGCGTTATGTGAAGAACAAATGTTAAGTGGTGTATGTGGGAAACAGCTTGCCTGTGTTTCATCCCTAAACTGTAAACACAGACAGCATGAGACGTGATTAGGGGCGGGAATCATGAGTACAGCCCTCTAACCACCATGTCTGAATGAATATAGCATGAGCGCGTGATGAGATAGGATAAAAAAAACATGAAAAAAAGAGGAAAAAAGGAATAAAAAAATCTGGACTAACATGGATCAGGAAATTGTCTGCCTTGCTTTGCTTGGATGTGGGTTCTCCTTAATTCTGGCGTTTAGCTTTCGCCCGTGATAGGAACGATTCGAGCCCTGGAAAGTTTAGCAAAAGAATGTTGGGTGC